GAGGTATGTCATCTCATTGGACCACCATCACTTTGTCCATCTATATATATAAAAGCCTAAGTGACCATTACAACCGGTCGACCAGTCACTATGATGCCCAATGACCAACAGGGGGCAGATGCTCAGTGCAGGAGCTGCCTGCTGGTGGTCAGTGTGCTCGCACAGCCAACCTCCTGCAGCCGGCCAACATCTTGTGGTCCTTCCCCCCTGCTGGCTGGCCTCACCTCGATTGGGACTGGGCAAGACAGCCCTGATCAGCCCCGATCACTGGCCAGGCCGAAGGACCCCCACTGTGCATAAATTCGTGCACCGGGCCTCTAGTTATGTATAAAAGAGCACAGTGACTTCCGCTAAAGTAAAATGTAGAAATATTAGAGACCCTTTAAATAACTCAAACATTATTTTGTTCCATGTGAGCCCAGCATAGGCTGAAAAAATATACATTTTGCTTCAACTCTGAAATGAATTTGAGCACACTAGTACTAAACAACCTTGTAACCTATTATGAAAATGAGAATTTGCAAAGCACTTTCACATACATTATCTCATTTGACCCTCACATGAACCACACAAGGTAGATAACACATATTATCCTCATTTATCACATGAGAAGAAAAAAAAAAGTTGAGTCTAGTCCAAGGTCAAACAGCTGGAATTAGAGCCCCAGTTGCTGGCCCTCCATCACAAGAATGATGCTCTATTCACTGTGCAATACAACCTTTCTTATAACCACTTGTGCTTTATCTTAAATTACCAAACTACCACCTCTAAGTCTCTTTCAGTGGTCCACAACACATTCACAAAATATTCTATAGTTCTATTAAAAGAAAAGATGGTTAAAGTTGGTCTAGACCAGTGGTCGGCAAACCGCGGCTCGCAAGCCACATGCGGCTCTTTGGCCCCTTGAGTGTGGCTCTTCTACAAAATACCACGTGCCGGCACACACGTACACTGCGATTAAAACTTTGTGGCCCATGCGCAGAAGTCGGTTTTTGGCCTGGGCGAGTCTATTTTGAAGAAGTGGCATTAGAAGAAGTGGGGGTACGTTTGCTGAGGTTGACCCCTCAGATTGAGGACGTTTTTAGCAAAGGCCAATTTAGGAGCACCCTAATTAAGTTAATAACAATGTACCTACATATATAGTTTAAGTTTAAAAAATTTGGCTCTCAAAAGAAATTTCAATCGTTGTACTGTTGATATTTGGCTCTGTTGACTAATGAGTTCGCCGACCACTGGCCTAGACCCTCTCCCCTTCTCTTGCCACATGTTCCCCAGGACAACTCAGCCATATCATAGATATCAATATCACTCCTTTCAAATTATTCCCCATTTTGTGGTCTAGGCCATACCTTTCTTCTGAGCCTCAGACAAGGATATAAAGCTGCATACTTGATACCTCCTGGATGTCTCAACATGTACAAAACTTCATCTTCTGCCCCCATCATATTCCCCTCCACTGCCAAAACTCAATCCTCTTTGGACATTCCTCCTCTCAAATACCTATCCAGGAACCTAGGAGCCACCTTGAAATTTCCCTTTCCCTCCCCTGACTCCACCCATATTCATCTAACACCAAGTCCATTCGCTTTTACCTCCTGCATAGCTCATTGTTCTGTCCACTTCTCTCCTTCACCATCATCATCACTTTAGTCCAAGACACCATCATCTCTCATTGGACTTTCATTGATTCCTAATTGGTCTGTTCCTCTCCAATCCTTTCTCCCCACCACACATAGCTGGAGCAATGCTCCCAAAAATGCGATTCTGGTCATGCTGCCCCTAACCCACTCTGTCTAGATCACTTCAATGGCATCACATTGCTTTTAAGGTAAAGGCAAAACCACCAGTAAATGGCCCACAAGTCCCTGTCTATTCTGGACCCCACCTCCAACCTTATCTCACAACACTAGCCTTCATTCTCAAGCTCCAGCCCCACTAGCCTTCTTTCAGCCCCTTTTACTCACCATATGTTGTTTTTTAGCCACAGTGTTCTAGAATATTCTTCTCTATTTAAATTCCCAGAATTAGATATACCTAGAAGGCTCCATCTTCAGATAGGGATTCAAGGGTGTTTCCTCATGGAAACCTTTCTCGATCTCCCTGAGTTAAAGCCCCCATCACAGTTTACATGGCACTGGTTTCGCAAGGTTTTGTGAATTTAGTTAACATCTATCTCCCCAGTAGATTTAAATTACCCCAAAGGGTGTCAGGAAATTCTAAAACTTTTGCTCACCATTGTATTCTCTGCACTGTGCTGAGCTTAGCACATACATGCACATCAATAACTGTTTGTTAAATAAATGAATAAACCCACTGATAAGGAAATGGTTATGTATGATAAACACTGTCATTATGGAATACTACCAAGCTGTTAAAAATAATGAGATAAGAATATATTTACTAATATGGAATGATGTCCATGACATATTATTGATCTAACACAGTGCATTATAGAACATTATGCATACTATGATCATTATTTTTAAAAGCTGTGTATGTCCTTTAAAAACACACACACACACAAATAACCTCTTTGTGTTTACATATATATGCATCTGTATGTGTTTTACAAGACCTGCAAGACTAACACCAAACTGCTTACACTGGTTTCCCTAGAGAATGGGAATGAGACAGGATAGAGAAAAATAGGATAACAATATCTATTCATAAACTTCTTTCTGGTTTGACTTATTTCAATGACCATATGGTATTGCTGTAAATTATTTCAACAATACTGCTTTTCAAATAATGATGCATTCACTAACGGTCAGGAAACTGACCGTTTCTAAATACAATAAAAAAAAAAAAAGGAAAAAAATTATTCTGTGTGATTCCTTGACAATGATAAAGCTCCATAAAACAGCATGTTTCCAGCTCAGCTCTCCAATCTAGCAATAAGCTGTGATGATGTCCCCCACGTGACTTGTACAAACAAAAAATTTTTGAAAAATCATTACTCTTGCACTTACTCCTACAGTATTAGAAGGGAAAATAACAGAAAGAAACAATAGCATAAATTTTTCTTAGTTTAGATTTTTTTTTTTGCTAAATAAAAGTGATTGTTGAAGACATCTTCATTTTCCTTCACTTGTCAGATGAAAAGTCTTTTGTTGTCTTTGCCACAGCTCAAATAGGAAAGAAAGCTTCCTACAGCCGTGACAGAGGTGGGAGCAGGGACAGAGATACTGGCGACGTGCAGACAGGATTGTTCCACAGCTGACAGCACAAAGCCTCACTCTGGTGGTTGAGCGAGGTGTGTGCAGGTGGGCAGACCCAGCTTCCGGAAGAGGGAAGGCAGGTGTGTGGGCGTGCCTTCTGCAGCCAGCCCCGCTGGGTGAGCTGGGGACAGTCTGTGCATACAGAATAAGTGCTGTCGCTGGGAGCTACACTGATTCTTTTTTCAGACTAATGGCTCAGATGGTGGGACAACCAAACGATGACTAAAATCTGAGTCAAATGCTTTCAAATCAAATTATTCCAGTGAAGCAGGAACGCAGGCAAGCAGAGAGCAGATCATGAGGGTTTTTAACCAGTACTTGTTAAACCTGAAGAAACTCGCTCTTCTTAATGACTGCCTCTTTCCATCCAATTCATTCTGACGTGAGTGAGCTGGGGACAATGGATCTTTATTACTAGTGACACCTTCTGATCAACTCTGAACCCCCTCTGGGCCTGTGCACTTTCCCAGTCCTGCTTTCACCTCCTCCTCTCCCCAGGTGCCTCCAGCATGTCTTCAATTATCCCAAAGGGTGTCGGGAAATTCTAAAAGTAGCCTCAGAGTTGGTGTTTTGGTATTTTTGAAAACTTTCATTTAAATACAAAAAGAGCTCACAGAAAGGAGAAGTAAGGTTGGGGGGAAGGGAAAGGGAAAGGGCATGTCATTACATTGAGCCACAGGGCATGCAGCACCGCCCCCCCCACCCCCGCCAAGACTCAAATGTGCCACCTGCATGTGGAAGAGACCCCAGCATGTGCTCTGACCCTTGAGGAAGCACCATGCAGACCCACTACACACATATGGGTGGTTTCCTTGACATCGTCCCCCGCCCCTTTTCTTCTGCTAATTTCTCAGTTTTAAATTCTTTCCCCAAAATGTTCCCTCCCTATTTGGCAATGCAGTTCCTCCATAAGCCTTTTTTGATGAGGAGACCCTGAGAAGATGGGTGTTTTCAAATGACCTGAGGTACTTTTCAGAAAACAAAGCCTCTTATCATCTTTATTGGAACAGGATCCTCTTCAAGAATAACTAGGAGTACCCCCATCCCCATGGAATCAGGTATGCTTTCACCCCCACCCCCCACTCCTCCTTTTTTAGGAATCAGCAGTCATGAAGTAGAAGAAGCAGAGAACAATGCTTAGCCCCCAGCAAAGGTGTAGGACCCCTCCCCACAGGCCAGAACTTGGCAGAGACTGAAGCTTACATACTTCAGCCTAGTTGGGCCCTCTACCCACACTCTGTCCGCTTCTCTGAATGCGTTCACTTAGATGTGAACAAAATATATTCTTGTTAAAACATTTTATATTGTGGTAAAATATACATTACATAAAATTCACCATTTTAATCATCTTTAAGTAAATACTTTGGTGGCTTTAAGAACACTCGCATTGTTGTGCAACCATCACCACCGTCATCTCCAGAACTTTCTCATCTTCCCCAACTGAAACACTGTACCCGTTAAACACTCAGTCCCCATTTCCTCCTTCCCCAGCCCCTGGCAACCACCTTTCTATTTTCTGTCTCTGTGAGTCTGACTACTTTAGGTACCTCATATAAGTAGAATCATACAGTATTTGTCCTTTGTCAACTGGTGTATTGCACTTAGCGTAATGTCTTCAAGGTTCACCCATGTTGTGGCGTGTCAGAATGTCCTTCCTTTTTAAGGCTGAATAACATTCCATTGCATGAACATATCACATTTTATTTACCTATTCATCTGTTGGTGGGCATTTGGGTTGTTTCATATTCTTAACTTAATCCTACAATTTAAGACATACAGATAATTCAAATTCATTCAATTTATTGAGTATTTACCAAGGGCAACTAACTGTGCTAGGTATTGTGAGAGGTACAGAGGGGAATCCAACATGGTACCTGCTCTTAAGGAATTTTATGCTTAATTAGGAAAGTAGAAAAGAAAGAAGTGAAAGTAATAGCATTTGCTAACTGCTTTGCCCAATCACTGCATGTATTGCTCACAACAACCTTGTGAGATAGATGATGTAATATCTACATGAGAGTGAGAAAATGAAGGTTCACAGACCTTAAGTAACCACCTCCAAAGTGGTGAGACTGGGATTCAAACCCACGTCTTGGATTCAGAATCCTGTGTATATTCCACTAGCCATGCCGCTCCCTTTGGTGCAAGGCAGAATGTGACAAAGCCTGGGGGAGAAGCTACAGGAAGGTAAGAGGGGAAGAGAAGAGATACCACCCTCCCGAGGGGAGAGGCTCATTGCAGACACAGGTCTTGCAGGTCAGGAAGGCTTATATTGGACAGAGATAAGGGAATAGAGGAAACTGCTTGGGCCAAGAGCAGAGGAGCCGTCAGGAAATCTCAGTGCATATTGACGGACCAGTGCAGTTGTTGAACATAAAGCTAGAAAGCAGAGAGGGGCGAAATCTTGGTTATAATGGAATGCTGGCTCAAGGAGTCTGAATTCCACCATGTAGACAATGGTGAACCATTGTAGGTTTTCTAAGTCAAGACATAGTTGTAGCTGTGCTTTGGGGAGGTCCATGGCAATAATGCATAACAAAGATGGAGGGGGGTATAGTTCATAGGTAGGAAAGCCAGTTAGGTCACTGGAATTAGCAGATGAGACATAATTAGTCAGAACAGAAAAGAGGATATGGAGGTGAGCAGCATCTTAGCAGTGGGGATTACAGAACCTGGCCGCTGGTCCATTATGAATGGGGTGACCCTACATCCTGGTTTGTGTGGGACACCTGTTTTCCTGGTGTAATTCCTAACAGCATCTCTTCCCTCTCAAACAGGTCCAAGTCTGGACAGTAAAGTATATGATCACACTAATTATGAGGAGTAAGAAAAAAGATTCAAAGGGAACTTGCAAAGATTTTGAACCTGAATTAATAAGGAAGGTGATGTCACCTTTAGAAACACGGGAGGGAAATCAGGTTTTTAGAAAGATGAGGAGTTTGGATGTGGACATGCTGGTCTTGCTGCTGAGGTGAGGGTTTATTTGAGGGAGAGGAGCACCTTGCCTGTGGACTTGCGCTGTATCACATGAAGGAAAGCATCATTGACCTAAAAAAAAAAATCCCAAAATATGTACAAAGACTTGCATACATGCACATTTCAACAAACATTTGTTGCTGGTTCAATTCTTAAAATAGCTACAGTATTAAGATGTGCCTTCAATGAACTGTATATAATTAACTATGTGACACTAAGTAATCACCACAAACCCAGAGGAAAACAATAATATTTGAGAGTAACCCAACCTCAAAATTTACCTGTCTAAACTATAAATTTCAATGTTGTCAGATAAATGACAGCAGGTAAAAAGTCCTCAGGCCCTGGCAGTTTGGCTTAGTGGATAAAGCATCAACCTGCGGACTGAAGGGTCCCAGGTTTGGTCCGGGTTGGGAGCACATGCCTGGATTGCAGGCTCAATCCCTAGTGGGGGTATGTGGCGGGGGGGGGGGGGGGGGGGGCAATTGGGGATTCTCTCTCATTATTAAAGGTTCTCTCTCTCTCCCTCTCCCTTCCTCTCTGAAATCAGGAAAAATATATATTTTTAAAAGTCCTCAGGGCTGTCCATACTCTCCTGTAAAATCTGTGTGTTCTAGCTTTTCAAAGAAAGGAGCTACTGGTAGAAGGATCGGAAATTAATATTTTACAATTTTTATCTTTTTATTAAAACTGTTCTGTTTCCAGTGTGTCTGAAAATTCAGTCTACCTCTCCATTCATTTTTAGGAGTACAGTTATAAAGCATAAATTTAA